CGGTCTGGTCCTCCACCCCGGGGGCTGCCCTAAAGTCCTTTCCCGATGCTACCGGTCTGCGAGTCTGTGCCCCATCCCCAGAGCGCGAGGCTGTCACTCACCGGCAGTGTAGGATCCCCACGTCCAGGCACCCTCCCGCTGCCGTTTATCCTCCGATATCTGCCGGCAGAATCACGGCTCCCTGCTTCAAACCTCAAAACCAACTGCCTGCGATATTCTGTTTGTAGAGATCCAGATCTTCTTACATCTCAGGCTGGTTTCGTGGGTGCTCAGAGTGGTCTGGTAGATATCCAGCTCAATTCCGGGGACCAGTGGAAATAGGGTCCCCTACTCCTCCGCCATCTTCCCCCCACCCCCCAGATTTTCCTCTTTCTTCATTTTCCTTGACATTCTATGTTGGTTTCTGCACATTAGATAAAACACCCACCTCTTCCAGTCTTCACAGACTGGCCTCATATAGGAGATGAGCCTCACAAATCAGCTTGGCCAGAGATTCTGAATGCCTCTCAAACCTGTGTGCTTGTCCAAGCTGCCATCTTTGCTTTTAGTGGCCCCCAAGAGAACAGAGTATGCCAAGTCCTGTCAGTGCCTCAAGAAAGGTGAGATAAAAGCCAGTTCCTCACATAGCAGCTAGAAAAGTTTGGAGCACTAGGTGTGTGGTCCAATTCCTTCTCTCCTCAGGGAGAAGCTGGGAACAGGAGGTTATCACTCATTTGTTCTACACTGAGCTGGGGAGTGGAGTTGTGGCTAATTCCTGCTCCCTCATTTAGACCACACACTCTTTGAAATGGCTGTTTTGTTTTCGGTTGCCCCCAGGGTCCTAGCAAGTGCGGGGGTCCTGCTAGCTCTCACAGATAGCTGGGTTAGAAGCCAGTCCCTTGGGTAGCAGCTGAAAAGGCTGGGTGGAGGGAGGTTAGGTGTGAAGTTGAACTCCTTCTGGGGAGAAGCTGGGGACTTGGTTTTATTGCTGTATCATGCTGGATATAGGAGCTGTGTGAAGTGCCCATACACCTGTTCAAAAATCCCAAAAGATTAGTCATTACCTGTGCAGTCAGCTCCCAGAAACAGGCAAGTTAGAAGCCAAATTATCAGGCAGCAATTGGAAAAGTCAGGGCAGTAGTATACAGTCCCCCTTCCAGAGAGATGCTGGATTTTATTGCAGAATGAGCTGAGATGAGGAGTCATAACAAGAGCCTGCAGGGCCATTCAAAACTGTTGCCTTCTCTATAGACCCAAAGGGACTAGTGAAGGCTGCCCCTTGTCAACTCCTAGAGACAAGAAAGTTAGAAATTAGGCCATCAGGCAACAGCTGGAAAAGTCAGGGTAGTAGATGTATAGTTCAACTCCTTCCAGGGAGAAGCTGAAATCTTGGTTTTTTCACTGGAGTGAGCCAGGGGGAGAAGCTCCAGGAAGTGCTCACAAGCCTACTCAAGCTCCAGAGGACTGGTAATTGCCTACCCCATCAGCTTCTACATGCAGGCTAGTTAGTGGGCAAATCCTCAGGCAGCAGGGCAAGTTAGAGTGCTAGATGTGCAGTTAAGCCCCTCCAAGGAGAAACTCAGAGCTGAGCTTTATTGCCTGTCACTCAGCACTGAGCCAGGGGAAGAGCCCCAGGAAGTGTTTGTGCACCCGTTTAAAACCATATCCTTGTAACTGGAGGGGATTATGCTAAGTGAAATAAGTCAATCAGAGAAAGACAATTATATGGTTTCATCACTCATATGTGGAACATAAGAAATAGCGCAGAGTATCATAGGGGGAGGGAGGGAAAACTGAAGGGGAAGATATCAGAGAGGGAGACAAACCACGAGGGACTCTGGACTCTGGGAAACAAACTGAGCGTTGTGGAAGGGGGGATGGGTGGGGGGATGGGGTAACTGGGTGATGGGCATTAAGGAGGACACATGATGTGATGAACACTGGGTATTATACACAACTAATGAATCACTGAACACTACATCAAAAACTAATGATGAATTATATGTTGGTTAAATTGAAATAAATACAAAATAAAAAAAAATAATAAAACCACATGCTTATTCTTTGAAGTCCTAGGAGATTAGCAAATACCAGGCCCCATCAGCTCCCAGAGATGGCTTAGTTAGAACCTCGTTCTTCAGGTAGCAGCCGTAAAAGTTGGGATGCTGAATGTATGGTCCAAACCTTTCCTCCCCAGGGAGAAACTGTTTGCTGGGGGCAGGGTTTATGGTGAGAGTATGTTTCAGCTTTTCCTACCTGTTTCAATGTGGTTATTTCCTTAGTCACCTAGTATGCACAAGTCTCTCACAATAGTTTTTCTGGATTTCTCTCAGAGGTATGGATCCATGTGTGGCAGTTTATTCACTGAGTCCATGGATGGAGCATTTCTTAATTTCTTGTCTATTCAGATGCTCCTTCAGTGCACTTCCCTTATCTCTTCAGAGCGTCTTGAGACTGGACTTCTAAAGAAAACGTTCTGTGCATCATCAGCAAGTCTAGTTCAGCTAGTACATACATATTGACTGTGTAGAAGATACCGTGCCAAGTACTGTGGGGGAAACAGAGATGAACCAGATATGGTCAATGGTCTCAGATATGTCCCAATGTAGTGGGACAGACATTTCAGGGAAAAAAAAAGTAGATCACATTAAGGTCACAAAGACAGAGTTGGAAATTTTCAGAACAATAGCTCTCATCTTGTTTGAGGAACCCTGGAAAGATTTATGGAAGACGGAAATATTTGAGCTGAAGCAAGAGGCAAGACATCTAAATTGCAGCTTTTACTACTTACCGATAGCAAGTTGCTGCAGCCCAGGTGACAAGGGAGTGGAGTGCTTCGCCATCGAAACCATAGCCAGCTTAAGAATCCAACTGCAGCTCTATCCCTGAGCATGTCATTGTGTACAGGAAGAGGTCTGAAAGTTTTACTTCACTACATTTCTGTGATCACAAATCACCTGAAACTTCAGAGATGCAGAATGTATACATTCAACCTACGCATCTAAAACAGAGCTGACCAATTCAATTTTCTGTGACGATTGAAATTTCCTTACTTGCACTGTCCAATACTGTAGCCACCAGGCATGTGTGGCTGTGAGGGAATAAAATCTAATTAAAATTTATGTTTCAATACCCACTGTGGCTAGCAGCCACCATATTGGTCAGTGCAGGTCAAGAACCTTTGGTTACTCTTAGTGAACTAATCACAAAATTATGTGATGATGTTGGGCCAGCATTTATTGCTAAGTTCAGAAAGTTAGATTTATAGAAGCATGTTGTTTTGGGATAACGGGATCAATCTAAAGGAAGATGGGATTTCACTTTTTTCTCCATTTTTGCATATCTGGCACATGAACTTCATTCATGTCATAAAACAAGTGTTTACTGAGCATCCCTTAACAGCAACAGAATTAAACCTTTCCAAGACATGTTCCAAGAATGTGGAACACCTGCATTTTCCTAAAAATTTCACAACTCATTTTAACAAACATGTAGAGATTAGGAAATAAGTAGGATGCTGGGGAAAAAAAAATAAAGTAGCTTTTAAAAAAATTGCTTAAGAGAAATTTGGGCTGGAAGTGACAGCTGATATGACTCAATGGCAGCATCAGAGATCCAAGTGCCTTGTTCCTTGTTGTTCCACTGTCCCTGAGGGTTGCCCCTCACTACTATTCACATCTTTTTGGCCAGAATCTAGTTAAATGGCCTCACCTAGTTACAATGGAGTCTGGGAAATAGTTATTCTCCCTCCCCCACCCCTCCATCATTGGATGGCAAATGTAACAAACTAAAAATATGGCATTCTGTTACTAAAGAAAGGGAGAATGGTTGTGGAGAGATAAGTAGCAATCTCTGCCAAAGAAAACCCAGAAATATTCTGGATTTCATGATAATGCAAAATGTCTAGATTACAGTGATGAAACCAGAGACATAAAAGGGAACACCAGCAAATCACTTTTATACATCTTCTTATTCACCAAAAAATTCAAATGAAAAACAAAATTAGAAGAATTAAATTAATGCAATTATTTTTCTTTAACAAACTAAATATTTGAAGTCCTTTATTTAAAGCAGCAAATAAACGTGCAGTCGTACCCACTAAAAAATCCACTGTAATTGTCAGACACAGAAATCAGGAAGTTTATTTAAAACCTTTCACAACTATTATATTGTTATTGGACAATCATTTATTTAAAATAATATCCTAAATACTTACAAAAATAAATCAAGTATTGCTTCTATTTTTCAAGTGTCAAAGTCTTTGCCATAGAAAATAGAAAGAACCTTTTATAAACTAAATGTAACATTTAAGATACATCAAGTTAGTAAGTGCACACTATTTTCTGTAATGGTGGTGCTTTACAAATTTCCAAACTACTTCTTTGCAATGTACAGGTTCACAATAGGCATGTATGCATACACCCATACACACACATTTTTTACATAGGAATGTTTCTCATTAAATATGCATACGGAGAACCTAACACAGTACTGCGGCCTAAAAGCCACCCCCACAGAGCCAAATGTGCCAAAATACAGAAAGAGGTGTAGATGTAGAAGCATTATCTAACATTCAAATTAGCAATCCAGTTACCAAAGATGATGACATTTTAATGAAGGATATCAGTTTAATGTTTCTAGATAAGACATTAATTCTTAATCTATACTAAATCATCAGTTCAATAGCCTTACTCATTGAAAAAATAGAATGAACTTCAAATATTTCTCAATACATTAAGTGATCATTGTCATTTGTATACACACTTTTTATTTTAAAAAGAGGAATATTAACCTTAGAGCAAATGCTCAAAATTAAGGATCATTTCCAAATTGGTCTGTAGTTTAATCTTTTATCACTGGGACATTCAATTCCTTATCAAACAGAGAAATGCTGGATTTCTCTTCCCTGGCATATGCACTCAAGCCTCACAACACAGACATGTATAAATCATGGTTCGTGATGAATATTTATAATGCTGCACCACCCACAGGGTGTCAATCTCACTACATTAACCAGATGTGGAAAAGAATCTCACTTCTGATCAGTTCCTGAATTTCTGTACGGTTAATCACAATAATACAGAACTTTACATTACTCTTGTATAAATACTTCTATATTGAGCATCTTAAATTCTAATTATCAACTAGAAAAGTGATAAATCACAAAATTCGTTTTTTTCTCTATTAAAAAAAAGAATCTAGCCTTCTGTCCTAATTCAGAAATTGCATGAATTATTTAGAAATTCCAAATATAATTGAAAATTTATGAGCAATTGACTGTGAAAATACTAATTTATTGAAATTGATGTTTTACAATAAATTCCAATAAAAGGAAGCTTGAAGAGCTTGTAAAATCTCAATTATAAGCAAGTAGTAAACACCAAAGGAGCAGATGTCTTACACTGACCAAAATATACCAAAATGCCATAGTATCTGGAAAATTTTAATTAGCATGCTAAAATATTTTCAAAGGGCTATTTCATTTCACTAAAAGTTGCAGGCAAGCAGACTCTAAGAATATACAAAAATGCAAACCAACAATATAATTGCACCAATAAAAAAACATCAAAATCTAAGAGGTAGTCAACAGAAGTAACCCTGATGCGACAACACATCCTGGGAGCTGCTCCCTAAATCTTAAGAGACCTAACTGCAGTAGGAAGTTCTTGTACTGTCAATGATTAGAAAAAATGTATTGGTAGAGAATCTACAAACCAAGTGTTTAAATGAATAATACTGTAAATGGAACAATACTCATATATGCAAAGAAAGGCTGACAATATCCAGACCAGGGTCTATAGCCTGCAGGCCAAATCTGTCCTACTGTCAGTTTTTGTAAATAAAACTGTATTGAAACCCAATAACATCCATTTTGCTCATATACATTGTTTATGGTTGCTGCTCTCACACCTATAGCAGAGTCCAGTACTTAGGACAGATCATATGGCTCAAAAAGCCTATAATATTTACTAAAATATTTACCATCTCTCTCTTTACAAAAAGTTTGCTGACCCCTGGTCCAGACATCCACTGAGAGGGATGCAGTTGTTGAACGGCTGGAAAGATTAACAATGAACGTCACAACATAAGGTATTCAACTCTAAGGAATGCAAACTGCTCTTTATGTCACAATTCAATTCCGTTTCATATCTGAAACAGTTCTAACATTTTTCTACTTTTTATTTTTGTCGTCAAATATCAAAGAGTATTTCCAAGTTACTATAAAAAGGTTTAGCAGAGCACTGTCCAATAGAACTTTCTGCAATGATGGACTTTTCTTATATCTGCACTTTCCAGTACTGTAGCCACCAGCCACACACGGCTATCAAGCATCTGGAAATGCGTGACTGGATGTGACCAAGGAACTGAATTTTTCATCTTAATTTTATAGAAATTGCCACACATGGCTTGTGGCTACAATACTGGACAGCAGAGATTTAACTCAACTAAAGTTCTAAAGTGTGACTCTTAAAAATGGCCAAAAAAATTATAAAATAACACCTCTGAAAAGAAGAGGTTTGGACAGAAGTGGACTGAAGACCATAAACTGAGTCCCGGACAGATTCCTTAATTCGTAAACAAAAGTCAAACGGATTCCAGACTGTTTCCTCACTGCACCATCTCCTTGCAGTGCAAGGAAAAAACTATTATAGTATGTTTTTCAGCAAAAGCCCTGATAATCTTATGCTTAAAAGCAATAATTACAATCATCATATTAAAACAGGTATAGACATTTCACACAAATTATATTTTTTGCCTTGCTTCCCACCAGAAAAATCACCTTTTATAAAAGTCAGTTCATTCCATACCATTAGCATGTCAACCATGCTGCACAGAAGCCCTTGTTTATAAGAGGTTCATTGAAGAACTATGAAGTCTCCTGAATCTGCAAAATCTCCAATTAGTCACTTTTACTATGGCAGAAGTCACTGCAATGGTCCAATCTTCCAAATGTTATATCTTCCATTACATGATAGAACAGACCCATCTGATGACAGATTTGACGGTAGAGGTAAAACCTTATACATATATAAAGTCAAAAAATATAGCTCTTGTATAGTTCTCCATGTACCTACCTCAAGACTATTTTTATATGGACCGAAACAATAAAACAAATATATATTTTTAAATTACTTATTACTGATCATACATTGTAAATTAACCAAGTTACTGGTACCACTGAAGACATTAAACTAAAATATACCAAGTCAATATGAACTTATAACACTCTCAGAAGACAAATGTTTGAGATGTGTGCCTAATTACATCTTCTACTCAAATGTGCTCCCTTTGAGAAATAGCTAATTTTGTATTTTGTTTCCAAAGCCAGCTGACAAAATTAATTTTATGCATACTGATTTTTAAATAGCTGACATCCACCATCATAAATTTCTTTTTTAACCTGGCAGTTAACTGAAGGATACAAACTATTTTAAGGGCACTTCTGTTTATGTTTTCTTTTGTAGTTTAATCGGGTGTTGTAGCAGGAACTTTGACAGAGAGATTTCTTCTGGTGCTGGTGATGTGCCGCTGCTGCGCTAAGAAAGACCGGGCGGGGGTACACGCAGCAGCGTCTTTGCCAGTGCCACCGCCACTCACGAGTCTGGACTCCATCCCCAGTTTCTGGAATGCCAGACTCTGAACAAAAATAAGCAAACAAATAACAAGACTACTTAGAGTCTGTAAAATGCTTTTCACATTTACTAAGTCACTTAATCCCCCAAATTCTATAAAGCTGTTGTTTTCCTCATTTTATAGAGAAAGGAAAGGGTTCAGAAGCGAATTAATCTGTACACCATCATGTTAGCAAGGAAGAGGAAACAAAGGCATAAAATCCAGTTTCTCTATTTTAACCTATCGAATTTGAAATCATTAAAAACATTCTAAACTTCAGCTTAATTATAACAATAAAAAAAGGTTCCAAAGTAAATCTTTGTGTTTGGGCCTTCACTCTACCCACTATGAGCATACATAGCACAAGAGAAAAACTCAGATCAACGGTTCTCAAATGTGGTCCCCAAATTATCATTTGTACCACTGGGAATTCATTAAAAATGCAAATTCTACCTTGTAGACTCTAGCCAGACCTACTAAATCAGAAGTTTTGCAGACGAGTCCAACAACTTGTGTTCTAACAGGTCTTCTGATGCATGCATCACAGTTTACATTCACTATCGTCTATCTACATACTGATTGATACATGACCAATTACTGTGGTTGTGGATGGTGGGTTTCGTAGTAAGAGAAATCATTACTTTTTCTCACTAGACCACATAACAGAATTTTACTAAGCTTAGAATCATGAGTAACTAATATAATACATAAAATATAGTAAATGCTCAAAAGACATGGGTGGTGTGGGGTGGGAGGGATGTGGTTGTGGGGTGATAGACATTGGGGAGGGTATGTGCTATGGTGAGCACTGTGAATTGTGTAAGACTGTTGAATCACAAACCTGTACCTCTGAAACAAATAAAACATTATATGTTTAAAAAAAAAAAGAAGATAGCAGGAGGGAAAGAATGAAGGGGGGAAAATCAGAGGGGGAGACGAACCATGAGAGACTATGGACTCTGAGAAACAAACTGAGGGTTCTAGAAGGGAGGGGGGTGGGAGGATGGGTTAGCCTGGTGATGGGTATATTAAGGAAGGCACGTACTGCATGGAGCACTGGGTGTTATAGGCAAACAATGAATCATGGAACACTACATCAAAAACTAATGATGTAATGTATGGTGATTAACGTAACATAATAATAAAATAAAGAAAAAAACAAAAACAAAAAACCCCAAATCCTTTAAAAAAAAAAGACACGGGTAGAAAATGAATAAATAATGTGTTATTTGGCTCTAATATCTTTAATAATTTATGTATCAAGAGGCTACAGAGGAACAAAGAGAATAATGTTCCCAGTCTTAACTAGGATGACTGAGTCATGAGGGAAGGTTCCGGGAACACTTCACCTCTAATTTCCTTCATGGCCTTGCTAAATTAAGCCAGATTTTACCAAATAGAGAAGGGAAGAAAAGAGCACAGAAAAAAGTACAGTGACATAGAAGAGCAGGCATGTTTGAAGCAGGGCACCCAGTTCTATGTGGTGAAGCACAGGGTCCACACATGGACAGAGTCCATAAAGTGATATTCTCTCATACTAAATAAGCAGCAGCTAAAGTAGATAATGGCTGTGTTACTCTCTCTGTGAATTAAAATAATCCAAAGAACCATATATATCACGAAATGCTTGAAAACATCTTACTGAGAGTAAGGATGACAAAATAAACTACACTTCAAATAATTTTATACTACTCTCTCCTTGTTAAGACAGACAATACTGAAGAGTATTCCTGATTTTATTTTATTTTTTTAAGATTTTATTTATTTATTTGACAGAGAGAGACACAATGAGAGAGGGAACACAAGCAGGGGGAGTGGGAGAGGGAGAAGCAGGCTTGCCGCGGAGCAGGGAGCCCGATGCGGGGCTCGATCCCAGGACCCTGGGATCATGACCTGAGCCGAAGGCAGACGCTTAACGACTGTGCCACCCAGGTGCCCTGAATATTCCTGATTTTAAAAAAACAGTGAAAGACACACTTAGAGGCTTTATGGGATGTTAAAATAAATGTTGAGTACTAGAAGCACTTAATTTTGCATTGCACAGATATTCCTACTTCTACAGAAACACCTATGAAGCTCAAATTAAGTCTTTTCACTCAAGACAATTTTTGAAATATTTATGAACTGTTGTATGTGTGCTTCATGTGTATCAACTAAGGTTGATGAGTCACAAAATCAATTTACTTATTTTGAGAAGATCAAAATCAACCAAAAACATTAAATTAAAATATACAATTTTAAGTATGACCAAAGTTAAAAAAAAAAAAAAAAGAGAGAGAGAGAGAGACTATGACAGGAGATACCTGAGTACAATGCACACAGTCAGGGTAACTTCTGTTCAGTTACATATGTAAACATGTACAGGTACTGATTTGTGGTATAAAATGTATTTCCTCCTATGGTTCATGGTCAAAATGTTTGATAAGTACAACATCCAATCACTGGCTGAATGTCAACTCACCTTATTGTACCAGGCAGAAACAATGAGTTTTTCTTCATAATCACGGAATTTTGCTACCTTACATTCACTCTGGAAAAAGATACAAGGACTATCAAGATCCCAGAAATAAACCGAAACTACCAAAAATGGAATCATTTTTTCACTGTGCTCAGAGAATTCTAAAAAATGCACTGTGTGGCATAAAGCAGTCAAAATCTGAGCAGAATCATGGAGAATGCATGCACAATGCCTTTAAGAAAGAATAAGACCATGACTAGTAAATATTTATTTCAAAAATTTTACTGAGAAATGTTCAATAAAACAACAAACATGAAACTGGTGATTCTCATGCTACTGTCCCCTACATCTAGAGAAGAATGTAACAACTGGCTTAGATGACAAAACAGAGCTGCACCTATGGAGGAGTCAAAACTAAGGAGAAAGAGGATATAGTAGAACATATCCCAGAAAATCCTTTAAAATCTCTATAAAGCTTAACACAAATTTTTCCCTCTTAATTCTTGGTGATCTGTCTACTAGATTGCCTGTGGCCATATTTGCACACTACCCTCGACATCTATTTAATTCCTCGAATATAGCAAATTTTGTAATTTCACTGAGCACCAGATACAGTTGATTCATTATAAACTAAACTATTTGAATGTTCCTACAGCAAGATGCTCATGTGCCTCCCTCATATCTTGTATGCTTTTTGTATCATGAGCATCTCGATATAATATATATGATATAAAACACTTTGCAAAGGAAACCAGAACATGTCCAATCTATGAACATACAATTCCAGAGTGACATAATTAACCCAAGTAGTAAAAATGATATCATTAGCACAAAAATAACTTCTAAAATTTGAAGACTCAGCTAGTTAATGAGGTGTCATCACTAACATAGCTGTGCATGATTAGTAACCAATACTGCCATTTTAGTGCAAGCGCTTACTGGATTCTGTGAGCACTTTCTTCCCCCCAGGAATTGCAACTAAGGAGCTTTACTTAGGTTCAAGTGAGGAACAGGAGAAGAGAAAGAAAATCTGGTTAACTGAGTACGGTACCTTTTTTAAAAGGTGAGTTTGGTTTCTTCCTTCCTTTCCCTCTTTCTTTCTTTCTTTTTTTCTTTCATATTTTCTGAATGAACTCTAATCCACATAATTTTAAAAGGAGCTAATATTATAGCAGAACTCTTTTAGACACTAAGGGATATCCACATGATTGGCTGTTATGGGGAAGAGAGATACAAAGCAGCAGAGTACATACACTCGCAGAGGCCAATCTCATGGGCTAGCGAGACTCTGTAATAAACACCGAGTGCTAAAACATGACATCTCTAACTTCTGACCTCAACCAACCTCTTGTGAGACTTGATCATTTACGGCAGATATATGACAGCAATTAATCACGAGGGTTACAAAGGATAATTAAAAGGAGATGTGTGAATATGAAAATTTTACCTCCAGAATCTCAATTCTTCTCTCTTTTTCTGCCAACTGCTTTCTAAGTAGCATTATTTCAGCTGATGCTGGATTTAATTTGGGATCTAAAGTTTTTATTACCTGTTTAAAGAAAAAAAATATTTTACATCTACTTTATTTTATCAAGTATTGAAATATAATAACATTGTCTATAGCATCTCTGTAAATAAAGTGGAAAATTATCCAGGAAGTAAAATTATCCAGGTACTAACTATGGCTTATTTGGCAATTAAATTTGAATAACAAAAATAGCATTCTATAAAGGTACAATGGTATCAAACTTCAGTACAAAAATGGAAAGATCCCTCTCCCAAAATAAAATTTCCTTTCCTACAGGTTTGGTACTCAGACAGTAATTTAGTCTTATTAAGCTTTGAGCACTAAGGTCTTGAAATAACACTTTTCGGGGCGCCTGGGTGGCTCAGTCGTTAAGCGTCTGCCTTCGGCTCAGGTCATGATCCCACGGTCCTGGGATCGAGCCCCGCATCGGGCTCCCTGCTCCACGGGAAGCCTGCTTCTC